CCTTACGTGAAGCATGGTCCACTCCAAGTTTTACTACATCTCTGCTGTGTCCCCCGTTTAATGCCAAGGGATAAAAAAATTGGACAATTTTATTGACTCTAGTTCACTGCTGTTTCCATCAGCAGCTATGTATCAATATGTTATTTTATGAAGGAAAGATCATACTCATGATTAATTTTGTATTTGTAAAGCTTTGTAAATTAATTTGATAATATTACGTACAAGATTCAAACTTTATACTGTTGTTCTTTATTAATGTATAATTTAGATAGCACAAAATTTATAATATACACCCGAAAACATTATTCGCAAATAAAGGTAAATTTTATCATATGGAGAGTAAGAACGAGTGCGTTCCACGGTCTGTTGCTCCCGTTACTCACTGGTGCAGTAGCCAATTTGAGGCCGTGGTTTAAGCCAGATAAAACACTCGACGCTGTGCTGTACGGGAAATTAACTCGAGTGTTGTCGAGCCGCAAGCGAGGCAATACACTCGCAATATTTCACATACAGCTCGGCGTCGAGCGTTCAGGCCCCCGTTTCACAAAGAATCTTAAATCCGTAGACGTCTTACTCGAGCTGGGTGGCCTAGCTAGGTCGACTTAGCTGAAGTCGACTTGGAGTGTTTCACAAAGAATATAACGTCTTAGCTTGGCGTGCTTACCGTAGTCGACGCGCACGAGAAACTCTTCAAGAAAAGGAGGTGTAAAATTGCAAAAGTTTCACAAGACATGACGTTTCATGGCCTCTTTCGGCCGAGAACGATCGTTTATCAACGATAAAAGTCAGCCAAAACACAAACAAAGTTTGTTTTTTAACTTTATTGATTAGTTTAACTTCAATACAACTTCAAAGCAACAGTTAAACATTAGCTTGTCGTGGAACACTAGTGAGGGACGTCTAGCGGTCAAAAACATAAACAAACACGCGATCGGCTGGGTAAAGTGGAATTTTATTTTTTATTTCAATATTCCATAAATGTCAGTGCTATTCAAGGATATTATAACACAATATCTTGAAGGAGGTATGTTCTTTCCAAATTTTTGTTGTTTATGCTCTCATTTACCGAGTTTTAGTTGAGCTTGCCGACTTAAGTCTCTTCCCGAGGAGGCTTGACATCGTCGACTTACAGCTAAGAAAAAGACGACGTAAGCGACCTTTTAGATTCTTTGTGAAACGGGACTTAGTGACGTAACGACTTAATTACGTTGGTAACCAAGCCCTAAGTCAGGGAAACCGACTTAAGTTTTTTTGTGAAACGGGGGCCAGGTTATACGGCACTCCCGGCCTTCCTTGTTTACTAAGTTTGAAGCAAGAAAATTTGCATATAAGAGAAAAATGAGTTTATTTTTCAATTTTGGATCATTTGAAAATTTTGAAATAAATTTGTTCATTTACCTTTAATTTGATGTGTTATTTTTCATATCAGGGTGAAATTTTACTGCCTGGTGCCAGTTTTACATGCCCTCCCCCCTGCTGCATTTTAGTGCTTATTTTGGCCGACTGGCGGCAGCACCTTACGGGCCATGTCATGTCACTGGCAGGCTATCCCATTAATGTACCCTGATTTTTTTTATATTGTTAAGGTCTTGAGTAGAAGTATTTAAACCTGAAGTGTTGTGTTTGTTGAAGCATGGAAAGTATTTTTAAGCGAATTATACGTTACAATGGAAGTGGTTTGTAACCTTCTATCACCTTGAGAGATGGCGACTGAATGACCTGATTATTAAGAGACTCGCTAACTGTGATACTGTGAAAGTAATGTCTGCGTTAGCAAGGAAGAAGACATCGCTTTACTTTGACAAGCCTTAGTTAGGTATTGCATGATCCTACTCTTGCGTCTAGATTTCGGTATTGCTAGCTCGATCTTGATTTCATGTATAAACCACATCAGCAATGCCTATGTATCTCAGACATGTGCAGATATATAGGGAGAAAGCTAACTATAGTGCTCTAACTATCCGGGTACATGATCCGTGTACTACTTCATTTACATTTTACCCCCTAATGGAGGCAAAGGGGGTCTAAAAATTGGTCAAAAATGGAAATAAATGATGATTTGTGTTCCGCCAGTATTATACATCAGCCGTATTATTTTACGAGCGCAAGACATAACTTATGATTAATTTTGCATTTGCAAAGGTTTATTAATTAATTTGTTTAAATCAAGTATTAGATTCAACCCCTACACTGTTGGCCTATATTGATGAAAAATTTAGAAAGCAATAATTTTGTAATAAATTATCTAAAAATGGTATTTGCAAATAAATGTACAATATTTTAATATGGCGCGTGCACAAAGGCAATTTTTTTTAACAATGTTCAGAAATAGAAACAATGTTCATTGATTTTTTAATCTTGTTAACAATATTGATTCAAAAGACTATTGATTATTTGAATTTTATTTTATTTGAATTATTTTTTATTCTTTAAATTTTTTTATTTTCAATTATTATGAATAAGAGTTGCTTAAAATTGGTCAAAAATAGAAATAAATTAATATTGTGATTCTGCCTGTACCTATATATCAGCTTAAGTATTTTAAGGGCGAAAGGGCTAACTCATAACGGAAGAAAAAGCCGGTTGGTCATCGTCAACCTGGACCGAAGAGCAAAGCAGAGCAGTGTTCGCGTTGGTAAAGTTGCAAACATCGCCTGACTTCGATTTGTCTTGCGTGTAGCTTGGTCCGTGGACTACTTTTCTTTCTTTCTTTTTTTTTTTTTACCCCCTCATGGGCCAAGAGGGGGTCTAAAAATTGGTCAAAAATGGAAATAAACGAAGACCATTTATCCGCGAGTATTTATATATCAGCCGTGTTATTTTATGAGCGAAAGGCCTTCGTTGTGATTAATTTTGCATTTGCAAAACTTTATAAATTTTACTGTCTATATTCTGTATAAGAATAAACTCTAACACTGTTGCTCAATATTAATTCAAAATTTAGATAGCTTTAATTTTGTAATTAGTTTTCTTAAAATGTTATTTGCAAATAAAGTTGTTTTAAGATTTTAATCTGGCGCATGCGCATAAAGTCGCAACTGCGCACAACGATCGCGATGGAGGGAAATAGATTTTTATGCGTTTTATAATATTCCTTCTAAAGACTATTGACTATTTGGATTTTATTTTATTTTATTCATTTTTTATTATTTTAATTTTTTATTTTTAATTATTATGAATAAGGGTTGCTAAAAATTGGGCAAAAATAGAAATAAATTGTGATTCTGCCAGCACGTTTATACAACTTAATTATTTTTAGAGCGAAAGGGCTAACTCATAACGTAAGAAAAAGCCGGTTGGTCATCATCAACCTGGACCGAAGAGCAAAGCAGAGCAGTGTTCGCGTTGGCAAAGTTGCATGCATCGCCTGACTTCGATTTGTCTTGTGTGTAGCTTGGTCCGTAAATTACTTTATTTTTGTTTTACCCCCTCATGGGCCAAGGGGGGTCCTAAAAATTTTTCAAAAATGGAAATAAACGCAGACTATTTTTCCGCCAGTTATTATATATCAGCCGTGTTATTTTACGAGCGAAAGACCTTCGTCGTGATTAATTTTGCATTTGCAAAGCTTTATAAATTTAACTGCCTACATTTTATATAAAAATAGACTCTAACACTGTTGCTCAATATTAATTCAAAATTTAGATAGCACTTATTTTGTTATTAGTTTTCTTAAAATGTTATTTGCAAATAAAGTTGTTTTAAGATTTTAATCTGGCGCATGCGCATAAAGTCGCAACTGCGCACAATGATCGCGATGGAGGGAAATAGATTTTTAAGCGTTTTATTAATATTCCTTCTTAAGACTATTAACTCTTTTTATGCTTTTTGTCACCAGAAAGTGTAAATAAATTACACAGAAATGAAAAATTCCCTTTTTACGCAGAGTAGGCCTACTACTAGACCTTTATGCAAAGGGGAAATGTTTTAACAAATTAAAATGCTTCTCACGCTGGCAAAATGAGTTTACGGTTATGAAATATAGATGGATTAATTGTATTGTATCAGATGCACCACTGTCATAGTGATTAAGTCTAGCAAGTTAAGCACAGAGAGGAAAAATACAATACAATACAATACGAACAGACCAGATTTTTGTTTTCGCAAGTAACAATACAACAAGAGAGCAAGAGAGAAGTTGAGGAACTTTTTTCGAGGCGTGCCTTTAGAGCGGCTCTAAAGAAGCCATCTTAAATGCCGATCTTTTACTTATTTAAAAGTAGGCTTAACATTAGCCTACTTGACGGAAGCTCAATTTCTAGGGTCCACATACGTTGGTGAAATAATCGATTTAAAACAAAGATAAAAGCAACACACCATTACTGCTGGTAAAGTTATGTTGTTACCTTTGTTGTTTTGTTGTTCACTTTACACACCGTGCAGTATATTCGTCGCCAGAGAATGGCAACTGAATGACAAGATTATAACGTAATATACTCACTTAAACGGACCCCTGTGCTGGACACGGCTTTTTATTGATTTGTTTTTTATTTATTTATTTATTTATTTATTTATTTAATTATTCATTCATTCATTCATTCATTCATTCATTATTATTATTATTATTATTATTATTATTATTATTATTATTATTATTATTATTATTATTGTGTGAGAGGATAAAATATGAGTGTTTCAAACACTTTGAGGCAAGCTTGCGAAAGGCAGAAACCATCCCGTATGCCCACCTCATCGGCTATTCATACCTCATTCCTTATCCCCACCTCGTCCCTTATCCCCACCTATCCCCACCCCACCGTAACATAATTACAAGTTAGGACCAGTCGAAAAGTCGAACGATGGAACGTGGATTTGCGTTGACAGCCTAATTCAGAAAGTAACATGGGTTTTGATTGGACATTCTGGACAGGTCAGAAAGGGACCAACTTTGAAGCGATTTTGGTGATGATTCATAGGTTTTCCCTTAAACTGGAGATGGCTTGACGGGCATCTGCGCTTTCTGTGTTTTTCAGGTTATATTTTTTTTTCTAATTTTGGCATTGATTCTTTAGATTTTATTTTGTGTTGAGCGTTATACACAGAAGTTACAAAATATATTTGAAAGTTCCAGTATCAACAGTTTCACGTGCCACTGACAATACCTTGTAGTGAAACATAATTTAATTATACAGTTTAATTTCTAATGAATTGAAGCATGTATTTCCGTGCCCTATATGTTCTTCCGCAATATTTACAACTGTAGATATAGGTGTACCCAAAATCTGCAGGAGTCAATCAATCAGTTTTCAAAGAAAAAATACATTTTTAAATAAATACAAGTCCATGTCACATACACAGGGAGATCACATTTACGGCAGACATCAGCGGCTGGTATCCACTTTCCGGGCCACAAACTGATTTTCACACACATTTCTCTGGATAATTCTGTGCACGTTTCTATTGTGTCCAGCGAGAAGTTTGGCACAAAATACACATATTTTGGCTTCTCAGCTGGCCTTTGTCAGACAGTTAGGCTGTATCCTTTAAAATACTCTATCATACACATTTACTGGATCGATCAAGAGACAGAATGTAGTGTATACTACAAATGGTTAAGAATTCACACGGTTTCACTGTTGTGCTTGTCTGCAATGCTATTTCTTCTGCATCTATAAACAATCCAATTGCTGCATATACCTAAAAGTAAACTATTAAATAGATGGAGACCGTGGTTTCCGGGATACATCAGCCCATTCAAGTGTAACAATTTCCTCAATTAAAACAGTCCGTGGTGAGCTCCTGGTTATTTCTGAATCTGTCCCCTAGAGTGTCAGCAATTTCGATTTTCTCAATATCCCGTATTGCCCTCTCCAGTTCCGCCACCTTGTCTTTGTCCCTCGCTGCGACACGCATGGACTTCCAGTACAACAAAATGTGCTCGGCCAACTCGGCGTCTGTCCACCTTGAATGAGAAAAGGCCATTATCAGAAGCCAAATGTGAAAAATGACAAAATGTTAATAATAATAATAATAATAATAATGATAATAATAAAGTGCACTGATAAAAGAAGATCAAAAATATGACGGAGAGATTTCAAAGATGACATCATTATCGGCATGAAAACAATTACTTGTCGTCCATTCACAGCTGAAATTAAACATGCATATTTCCCTGCCGTCGCGAGCAGGACATGGTTATATCACGATCAGTTATGAAGGCAGCAAGTTTACATGTGTATTCACTAATAAAGTTCCAGATTTACAGTTTGAAGCCCAGTGCTTCATCCTTCTTAATCACTGGTACGTATAATATAGTCTATTCGTGACGTCATCCAGAACTGAACCCGGATAGGTTTTAATCTGTGTCTGAATGCACCCTAAGTAAAAAAAAAATTTAAAAAAAAAACAAAAAAAAAAACACGGTACCCACCCTAGTCTGTTGTAATCGTTCTTGAAATTGACGATGGTTCCAGTTGGGATATTAAGGTACATCCCTAACCACATTCCGTCATCCACGTGCCGGGCGAGGTTAGACAGACTCAGCTGGGTTAACACGCTGGCTTCGGGCTTCGGGGGTTTCCCTGAAAAAAAGGGGAGAGGGAGAAATAGATTTTTCAATTTTCTTTTTATGTGGAATATATCAATTATTTTCTGAAAAGATTCTATGTTGAAGTATACATGAATCAGTGCCTAATATTAATCAATTTTAAGAATTTTTAATAGAACTACACACACTGGACAATAGACGATGAATCAGAGTAATCAAGTATTAACCTGAAGAGGCGGAATATAAGCAATGTCAGAAAATCGATACAGTTGAATTGTTCAGTCAGAACCGTTTCTTTTGTGAAATTTGATGTTAATAAAATGATACCAGGAGCATATCATTCCACAGTCATTTATCTCCCCCTAAGTATTGGTTCAGTAGGGGTGACACTTCTATTGTCCAGTGTGTGTAAATCCATGGTATCGAAGTATTCCACTGAAAGAGGGCTAAAACAGGCCAATTATAATTATCCGTAAACACTCTTTGACGAATTAATTTTTTTAGCCAGCTATCCCAATCGTGTAGTCTAATGTAAGGTTTTAAAAACAGATTTTTTGTGAAACAAGCAGCTGGTCTGGGTCGCAGTGGAGTTTTCCATGCTCGACCAGTGCGCAAATTTGAATGCCAACGAAAAATCGAAAAATAAAATGAAAAAAAGAAGAAAAAACACCCAAAAACGATGCCAAAGGCCATTGTACAATAAGACACTTTCGATCTAATACTCTTGATATAATTTATTTTAATTAAACGTGTGCCTGAAGCTACAGATCGATACATAAGCTCCACCACAAGCACTGTTCTGATAGATAGAACAGACGGCGGGTTCTCTGACACACTGACATTTACTTTATTCTTCATTATAAGTCGCATAATGTGCCGGAAAAGACCGTGTACTGTAACTACGCGAAGTGTTTGCCTCGCTGCGCTAAAAGCATGGGCATAAAAAGGCACAGACGCCACTTATCGAAAACCGGCTTATTTACACTACTTACAGTTCGTTCGTTCGATGCTTACATATATTGGGTTTTGTTCAATGATTGCGATACCCCACCCAGTTAAAAATGACGGTAATAATCAAGGAAAAACACCGAAGTTAAACCTCCTGATTTTTTATTTATTTTTCTATCACAACAACGCTAAGGCCAACGTCATAAAAGGCGTCTCAGCTCTGCTTCACCAGAGCTTAACGTGAACACCTCAGCACGAGCAGACGTATTAATTCAGGCGTTCTGCTGCCTGGGATCCCGAGCTTAGTTACCGGTTAATAACTCTTTTCTGACTCGGAGTCAATGGCACTCAACAGTATTAGCTTTCCATGTTTGCTTTGGCATTATTTTCAGTAAAAAGTGGGTCGCGAAAATGCTCATATGTCGCTTGCACTGTGATTTAAAGGCTGCGATATTTGTTCGGTAACCGTATAATGTATCTTGCCTGCGTTTAAGACTAAAAACGGATGCTATCTACAGTTAACGCTTGCCTCCATACTTGTCTAAAACTGGTTAATTACTATTTGCAGTTTTATATCCTTTCTAACAGAATTACAGAAACGTTTCTTGATCATCTGACCCCTTGAAAAGGATGCAACAAACCCGTATCTCAGCCGATATCTCTTGTCAGTAATCAAGTATTGATGAATTTGGTCAAAATCTCTGGCGTTATAGGTATAATATGCGTATTTAATTCAAAGTAAAACTACACTAAGCATCCTTTATCATTTGATACACATGTAGTAACTTCTTGTGTCTACACGGAAAGGCAGTAGAAAGACATCAGCAAATTTTGAGAACGCGCGAGAAACAGGTCACAGCACCCCATCTTTAGGTGCACAGAATGGTGCTCTTGTACATGTTCTATTCTTACTTGACCATGATAGGAAATAGACTGAATGAAACCATTCTGCAAAGATTATCGTCTGTCATCTCGTAAAGAACAGAAAACTAGAATCAAAAACCGATGCACGAGCGGCAATCTGGTGCACGTACTCCATGGATGCACAGACCCACTGATCAGACTGATGTTTCATGTTAAAACAAATAAAGATATGAAAAGAGCACCAAATGTAAATGTCACTTGCGCAAGACAGATCAAGTTTGCCAACTTATATATAGTAGTAGACTTTTAAACGGTTGTGCAAACCTGCATGCAAAACCTTGTCAGGGGACCCATTTATTGTTACATTGAATTCGAGATTTACACAGCTGTACAGTAGTTGACTGTCCGAAAAAAGAGGGGCTTGGGTAGACTTGGTTGGCATACAGAACCCGTGATAATAAGCCTTATTAATATATGTGCAGTTGCTAACATCAAAGAGAGCTTAAAAACTTACCATCGGCAGCCATGGTGGATACAATATCCCACTGCAATTATCGCGTGGCAACAGCCTCAGATTCCTTCCGTGGCTAAAACTTGATATTTGTACACACCAGCGATCAAACCGACCGTAAAAACACAATAATTACCAAAACACAAAAATGTGCTCGTGCTCAACCAAATGGGGTCGCTACCTGACAACAAGCCCGGCCCAGTATATAGAAACCACCTTTAGTTAAAGGCCCTTTACAAAACCTGTTTGCCCGTCAAACAAGGGCAGTTTGTGTAAGCTATACGGCTTAGGATCGCTCTCCTTTAATCGCTGATAAAAGAGACTTATTCAAACCTTTGAACGCATTGATTGCTTTGGTTGTCAGCGCCGACCCTCTGTGAACCCGGTAGAGGGCGCTTTGCATCTGGATCAGGCCCTTGCTTGTAAACGTAATATCTGTTGCTAGCAAGTTCTCGTTTTTGTGACAACACGGCAATTCGCGAATTGAAGAAAAATCGTGAGAATAATCAGAGTTTGTGAAACAACATTTAAAGAATTAATAACTGAGATGCAATTTGAGAAAGAAATATTTAGAATTATTAAAATTAAGTATGAAGTATCGTCTAGTGAATTTTGCTGCTTTTCATCAATTCAAATAGGGATGTGATGGGAAAAGTCCTTTCTTTAATTAAAAAATTGAATAAAAGCATGATTTAATAAAAAAAGAAGAAAAGTAAAAAAAGCGAAAGAATGAATGAAAAATCGTACTCGCCACTAGACGGTCTTTTTAATACGTAAACACGATGCAAAATTTCGCAGATACATTACTAGTCCCTCTCTCATTTGTAGACAAAATTTGATCACGTTTTCCAGGAAAATATGAACTGTTCACATCTTCTAGTACATTTTCTCCGTGTCTTCTCACAATTTTAAGGGTAAAAGTAAAAATAAATCGGAAAAAAGAGGCTAATGTAAATCATAATCGACTACGAAACTATTTTCAGTGGCTCCTTTTTTACTTCGAAAGACCCCATTTTTTTATTTTGCACACTTTTCTCACTTTGGACATTCCTCTACATTTTCATAAAATTCGAAACACGGATAAAACAAAACGTCTGTGTCATTGCAGGTATGTGCAGGTGTACAAATTGCAGGCAAGTCCTACAGATCATTAATAGTGTTCATTCAACTGTAGCTCCGAACTGTAGTAAAAAGCGTCGTTTAGAAGAATCGGAGACAATTTCAATTTGGTAAAACCTTTAGCATCATTTATTAAGCACAGACGGTCGAATCTGAGAAGTACTAGTAGTTTCATTGAAATTTTCTTGGCGAAATGAGATATTATAATGACGCAAAACCTTTAGGGTTTGCTTTCAAAATGCTAGTCGTATGAAACATCAAAAGGCACTAATTGGAAAGACCAAAAGGTCTCTCAAAAGGAAAAATAAAGACGATCAGTTACTTTTTACCAAGAAATCTTATGATATCATCATTAAAGGAAACAATAACACACAAATCATTTCCTTCTTAAAAGGCATTCATTAGCTTATTTGAAAGAAAAGACACCACAGTACATTTCCAATTTCTTTCAGTCGGTATATCCTGTCGAGTTATCCTATCACTTACAGGTTATGTAAACGTATTCGTTTCACGAGGTCTTCTATCATTGTTGTGTGCATGTCTTTATGTTTCAAAAAATTAGCTAAGCTTTTAATGCCCAGGACAAAACAACTAATTATTTTCTACAAAATTTGAAAAGTTACACCGGTAAAGATTGTATCCGAATTACAGGAAACTGTGATCATGTCAATCCGATGGAAAATATCAATTACCATTGCAAAAATAATGCGCATTCATCAGGAATAACCTTTTTCTTTCTGTCTGTCTTTTTTCCATCGGACTTCATCTGCAATAAGGGATTTTTTAATTCTGAAAATTGGGTTACGCTAGATACCCCGCGGCTTCAATGGATTTTCTTTTACAAAAAATAATAGTATTTTGTTAAATCTTGAAGTATTGCTATTACACAGAAATAAAAGGTTTTTAAAACCTTTTCATTGTGCATTGCTCGAGCAAACTACAAAAGAAAAAAAAACTAGTCGGTCACAGAGTGGTTAAGGCATTTGCGGAAAGGCAGCTTGGAGAACTCGGCACCATATATGTAGGAAGGGAATGGGGAGCGTAGAGCCCTTCTGCCGACGTGCCAACCACTGTATTGGCGTGACACAGTGCGTTGGGGCGATTTGATGACATTTTGAGATGTTAAGGCAGATCCATTCTGCCAATCACTGCATATAGGCGTGGCGCCTGAAGGACTGAACGGTATTTGAAGGAGTAAAAGCAGAGCTCTTCCTAGCATATCAACAGTCTCAGTTTATTAGTTTTTCTATACCGAAGAATAAGAGAGAGCTCTCGACATTAGTTCAAATTTTTCGTTGTATAGCCTTTCGTGAATTCGCCACCCCCTCCACCATGGTGTATTACTACATACCTATGTGTGTATTACGATTGTCCGTGTTCCAAATACTACGTATGGGATCACTTGACACATCGCCAGTGGGAAACGTGGAAGTTCTCGTCGGCTGCCACGTGAACATGTCCCAAGCAGCATTTGAACAGGTAGTAACGACAGCCGGTTTGGGCATGCCCGACCAGTCTTCATTTGTCCGAAAGTATTTTGAACCCACTTGCAAGCTGGCCTACCAGAGATTGCTTCTGGAAACGCCCTTCCATCAGACCCTATTCCTCATGGGGCTTAACGAAAGCCTCTGCACGGAGTTGGAATTTGCTGGACAGAATTCCAGCTTCGCCAATTTTAGACAGACCATGGACAGACTTCTAGCAGATGGCAGAAAGATAATTGCCGACATCATTGAAATGAGTAGCAATGCCGCCGGAGAAAATGACACGGTAGAGGATGTCGCTGAGAACTTTGTCACAAGTATGAGAGAAAATACTCAAGTTTGTCTAAGGGTTCTGGACATGAACAAAGCTCATCCCGTTTTCCTTGAGGAGTATTCTAGCTTGCTTCAGGACTCTATCCAGACGTTCCACTGCGTGCTAAAGGGCAACAGTAGCAGGGGAACCGTTTTTCAATCTGAAAACACATGGTTCTCAGCGGACACGTTTGTTGGAGACTGTGGAGTGCTTGAGTTAAACTCAAAGACGGTTCAAATAACACCAATATTTGATGTATCGAAGGACGAATGCTTGGGTAACAACACGCATTTTAATTACCCACTCAATGATACAAAATATATCTGCATTCAACCGAAGACTCCAGATGGTTCCCCACTTCCATCACCTTCGTTTTGCCAGTTCAGAGACAGCGATTATCCCATAGAAATGCGATTTAACATAACCTCATTGACTTTGCAAGTTTGTCCGTCAGTTTTCCACCCTGCAGAGGGCGTGTTGCATACCGTAACAGTGACAAACTCCTTACAGCAATGTTTCGAATTGTTTTCATCCATTGATTTCGATGAGATGGGACGCTATACGCTACTTTATGCTTACTTCACCATCGGCTTCGGCCCATTAGGACTTTTCGCCAATAGTATTATTATGGCTGTTCTACTCTGCAACCCAAAGAAAAGCCGAAGTACGGTCCTGCTACCGGTTTTTCTTGCTCTTACAAACTGTTTTTACTTGCTAGTGACATTCGCCGAAAGTATACTTATTCTTTTTACAATCTCTATAGCGGACTCTTTGCCAGGGTGGTCATGTATACCGATACCCGTCCTGCTAGTGTTCACCCAAGACACATGTGCATTCATGGTCTGCCTAATGACCTTTGACAGATTCCTTGTCGTATGTTTTCCTTTAAAGAAAATGTTTGGATGTTCTCACTCGACTCTCATGAAATCGGTAAGTGCATAGTATTTTTTGCGTTGTTTCTATTCAATACAGGTGTTATGGTCATCGACGATAATTGTTCATTTTTGTGACAGAAACTTGTGGAAATTGATCGAAACATAAGTAGGCCTAGTGATAATTTTGGTTTCGAACAAACTCGTACTTGCCAAACACTTCATCACCGGACCATATTTTCCAAGATGGCTGCCAAAATAATATCTGGCAATATTTTGATATTTAAAGTGGCCAATCAGTGGTGTAAATTCAGTATTCCATCTACTAGTAGAAAAAGTAAACTGGAACACGGTTACTACTGATCTCTATGATTGAAAGAAATATATTCTCTCATTTTTTCAGTTCGCCTTACTCGCTTTGATCATTTCCTTTATCGGGGGACTTCTGTTTTCCACAAATCTTCCACAGATGATGTTGGAAAATAAATGTGCGTTTTCACTTGAAAGTTATACCCATGTCATGAAAAAGATGGGCAAGTCAGCCGCCGTGCGGATGTCAGGATATGTACTTTTATTCCTCTTCATGTTAATCATGAATGTCAAAATTGCTGCCGTAATGAACATCCAAGCGAAAAAGCGGAAACAAATCTCTTCTGCAAGTTCCTCAAACGCAAAACGAGAATTAGTTGGCACCGTGTGCCTTTTGACTTCGTCCATATCGTTTCTCTTTTTGTGTTTGCCCTACGTGACGAGTTTGGTGCTGTTTTTTCTACCAGAAAATGGAATTATAAATCTCGAGGAAATGGCTTTCCAAATAATCGGCAAGCTGACATTTGAACTTTACAGCGTTGTTAACCTTATAGTATTCTTAGTCAGTGGCGCCACCTTTCGTTTAGCGTTTAAATCCTTGGTATCTAAAGTTTTCCACATCACTATTTCGTTGTTCAGGGCGAAAAGTGCCTCTGAATCAAGTTCACACAATTAATGAATATAAGTATTCTTTATGGACTCTACATTCAATGTGTACGTTATCCGTTTCGTACTGAAAATAAAAGTAAAAAGTAAAGTTTTTGGCACGTGAAAGAAAGAAACTAAAGAATATACTTATCATAAATTTTATTATGTTATATACTTGTGATGTTTGTCATACATTAAAAAAATATAATATATTAAATTGTGATCCTCTAATGTCGATTAGTTGTTTGTGAACCTTCATATGAATAGGATCAAACGTTTGTGACCTTCGCAACGGTATTCATAGCATCCGAACGTACGTACAGCTGGTCTTATCCACTCTTGTGTCAGCTGAGCTTGCGAGCAAATTAACTGGAAAGTATTTCTTAAATGAGGTTAAAACAATTAATTAGTTCATCCTAAACACCAAAAAACTATCAATGCCCCTTTTAAACTCTCTTTTAATAATTTTGATAATATGCGTAACAGTATTGATGTCTGTTTAATCAAGGACGTATATTGAATATTCAATATACGTCCTTGGTTTAATCTTTCATGTAAGTAGCCGTAAGTAATGAACACTACCCGGTACGACATGGGAGGTGTTTTGACTATAATAGTTTATGCT